CATGCAGCAAATAAGATGAAAATTTTATAAGTAATATTAACAATAGCAATTGTAATATTCTACTGTCTGCGGTAGGAATTCAAGAATTGGAAGAATGATTATTATGATAAATGTGTAAATTATATACTATTATGGTTGATATGTGGTAGGTTAGATGAACATGCTGATACCTGTATAAAGGAATGAAGTTGGAAGTAGATGTGTGTTGGAGAAATAGATGAATCCTGTTTATGTCAGGGTTTAAATAATTCAGGAACAATTTAAATCCAAGAAAAAATTAAATGAAAATAAATTTTTCAATGTAATTTTTTTTCAAAACCGTCAGAATCAGTTCGATGAAGGAATATAATTGTAATTGTTTTGTTTATTACAGTACATTGAGGCTTGTACCGCGTGTCCAACAACAAGTAGCAAAACAAAAAAGGCATCCTCGGTAATAAAAGAAAAACCACCTCGACGTTGGAAATCGATAAATTCGCAATATTGCAGTTCTTGCATGGTATATTAAAATTTCTCTTTATACTCGAGTATTTTTGAAAATACACCTGTGAAAGATAATTGTTTATTAAATTTGAAAATTGGAATTGAATTTGAAAGTATGCAACACTGATCATCTTAATGAGGGATGAGGATTAAATAAAATTGTCAGGATCTCATGTAGTTATTCTTTCATCAAATATCAAGCATTATAATTTATAAGGAATTTTGCAGGAAGGTGGTGAGCTTTTATGCTGTGATCGTTGTCCAGCATCATTTCATTTGATGTGTCATGAACCACCCATTGAACGAAGTTCTATTCCAAGTGGAAAATGGTTATGTAATCGTTGTACTTATGCCGTGACACACGATACTAGTCCGAAAACAAACAAAAAAGTACCGAAATTGGTGAATTGATATTTTTTAAATTTCTATCAAGATTAAACTTGATACACCTTCTGTACAATATTTATTAAATAGTATTAACAAATTTTATCTTAATTGAATCTAGTATTTGGTGTTGAAATAGAAACTGGAACTTGTACAAAATGATCACATTTATCAGATCGTTAACAGTGAAATTTTTCCTGAGTCAATAAAAAATTTGAGAATGGATACGATTAGAAAAATATACGTTCTCAAAATTTTGAGAGGGAATGATTAATGTATGAATTATCGCATTGTAATTTAGCAAAATTCTAGCTTCCCTCTTACACTTTAACTTCTTTGAACTAAACAAAATCTGATTCAAATTTTGACATGCAAGTAAAAAAAAATATATAATTATTTCAGATTTTTGGTTTCCGAATTCATATCATATTTATCTTAAAATAAAACTTAGAGCAAAAGTTAAAACATTACTAAATGCTTGATTATTAATTCCCACAAATTGGTATATTGATGTAATCAATATCATTACGTCAGATCAAATCACTACCTGTAATATTGTACATTATCTTTTTTAACGAATATTTTTAATACACATCTTCATGAGGATGATCATGATCATTTTTGTTTTTTTTTTTCGTAGAAACCATTAAGTACAGGAGCTGTATGGACTTTCTTCTTGCTCTGAATTAAAATAATATTTCTGCAGCTTAGTTTCTGCTTCTTTTACAGGATGTTGATTGCTCCTCAGCGAATGTACGCCGAAATCACGCAACTATGTCCAATATTATAGAACAAAATACAGATGGTGGCCTAAGTGCACTAACAGTATTAGCTGATGCAGCTTTGGCTGCAAATGCTGAACAGTTTTCCTTGCCGCACGATTTATCGTCTGAAATTCCACCGTTACCGTTTGATGAGCGATTAACATCTACACAGTTAATGCTACCACCGAAAGCAATCTGTCATCTTTGTGCATCGTTAGTTGATTTTTTTATAAGTCCCTAGCTTTTAGGTTAGCAATTCTAGCCCGAAGCTGACATTAATTATTAAGTAGATCTTGATAGCACCTGTAAGGAATTTTGCCGTTTATATCCACATTCACTCTTTAGTTACATCACTTCGGATTCTATTAATAAAAAAATCATGACCTTTCTTTTCATTTTCTGTCTAATTTCAGGAGAAATGAAAAATCGACTATGATCCAGTGTGATTTTTGTTCACTTTGTTATCATCTCGATTGTCTTACACCTCCTCTTCCTTCCGTGCCAAAAGATAAATGGATGTGTCCAGCTCATGTGGAACATATTTTGGTTAGATAAATTATGTAAATATCCGACTGCTAATTATTGCTTGCTTGTTTTTATGTTAGAAATGATTTAATCGCCATACTTAATTCTTTTATTTTATATCGAAAATATATACATATCTAAGGAAAATGACAAGAGGTTGAAATTTTGCAAAAAATTTCTAGAAATTATAGTTGTAATTTTATTCTATATTGCAGAAACTTTTGTTTCTGTCATATTAGAAAGGTGATAATATTTAAGTTTTTCTAATGGCATGGTAGAAATTAAGCATATTTATATTTCCATTGGAGTTGAATAAATTCAAATATTATATATTTCAGGATCGAAAATTAGCGAAAACACTTTCATTGCGTAAACGATTACTTGTTTGGAGGAAATATGCTAGGCAACCAGTTGATGAACATTTGGTCAAAATTTCATTCCTCAAGAAAGCTCATCTCGAAAGAAAAGCTGCTGTCGAAGCAGGAGATGTTTCTATCGGGGTTTGTTGATTCATTGTACCTTGTTAATATGTTGTTTCAATGCACGTTTTCTCGATTATTTAGTTTAGCTAATTATCTAGTAAATTAATTTTAATGAATATTTCTTATATGAGATCCAATTTTTAGAGAAGTGGTCCATATTTTTCCGTTCCTGACTGCATCAAGAAATTGTATGAAACACGGTGGAAACGGTGGAAAAAAGATGAATTACCCAGTGAAAAGGAACAAGATCTGTGGTTTAGAAATGTCGTGCGAATGCAAAAAATGCAAGTCGAGCTGGACTTATCCAGAGACAAAACTACTGAGTTAGACGAAAAGCGAGATATTTCTGAGAAGATACCGAATGTCGCGAGAGAATCAGTGATTGCGGAAACTGTGGAGACAAAACAACAGCCTCAATCAGAATTGCAAGACGATTTGCATCAGCAATGTTCTGGTTTGGTAACAATTTGAACTGAAACTTAGTTTTTAAATTATGGAAAGTATTTTTGGCTTCCAAAATTTAGAACTAAATTTTTTTCATTTTTTGTCTTTTCAGACAAATTTCGTAGAATTATCATTGTTAAAGCGCGTTCGACGCGGCTGCCTGTCACTGATGGAAAATTCGGAAAATGTGGAATATCGCATTATTGGTTCTCTTGCTTGTCAGAGACTGGAACAGTTGCTGTGTACCGCCGAAAGCTCTCGGGATATTAAGGAAGTGAAATTTGAAAAAAGTTAATTTTCCAAGCATTTTCAAAGGAGTGGATGAGAAAATATATATGAAAAACAAGACTTTTCCAAAGTAATAAATAAGTAGCA